GCCTCCCTTATATTATTGCTCCCTGATGATTCTGAGGGTTGTTTTGTGTTTTTCTCCCATTCTACTCAGGACCTTCTAATATGATCCCTGTCAGAGCAGCTGATAGTGGTAGCTGGACACCACCGGGTTCTTTTGCTCTTACGGGATAGTCCCTAGAGGCTAGTCCATTAGTCCCTTGATTTTATGAAGAGAAAACATTTTTCTTATTCCAAATTTAAAAAGTATTTAAGGAAAGTAGATTTGGAGTGTGCACCAGTCTCAATTCAGTTAAGTCTGATTTCCACAGGAATTTGATGTTTGGTTGTACATTTTTTTCTCCTTTTGATCTCTGTCTCTGTCTCTCTCTCTGTCTCACTCTCACTTTCTCCTCGTTCCTTGATCAAACTATTCAGTAAAAGGTAGCAGGCAACAACAACTTCTGGTTTTGTGGCAGAATAGATGGTAATAGTTAAAGGAGGCTGTAGTCCATTTTCTTCTCCTTCCTCCACTATCCCAAATGTGTAGAAAACCATTGTTATTTTGTGTACCCACTAGCAAAAAAGGTCCCAAGTACTGCTCACTGGACAAGGTAGTAAATTCTAAAAATTAACGGTAAGCCAATAGATTATTCTGACTCAAGAAACCATGACCCTGAATCTTTAAACCAGCGGTTCTCAACCTGTGGGTCATGACCCCTTTGGGGTAGCATTTTGGTAGCAAAATGACAGTGATGAATTAGCAACGAAAATAATTTTATGGTTGGGGGGGTCACCACAACATAAAGGGTCGCGGCATTAGGAAGGTTGAGAACAACCACTGCTTTAAACCAAGGATCTAATTCCATCAAGTGTTTCTTAGTACCTAATTAGTATCCACAGATGCCCCTTTTTGGAAGAAGAGGTTGCCGTTGCTAAAAAATTATGTCTGACACTATTTGCCTTTTTGCACCACCCTCCCCTTGGTGCTATCAGTTACATTACTCTGTGCAACCATTGCCCTTGATGGTTTTATGTTATCACTATAGACAAAATTAACTACTTTTCAGAGGATTTCCCCTCTCCTTTTCCCTCCTGTCTCTGATAACCACAGTAACCACGGGCACCTGTATATTTCATTCTTGTCATTACATGTAAGTGCAACCGTGTAATATTTTTTGTTATTAACTTGCTTAGCATAATGTCTTCGGAGTTCATGTTGTAGCATGTTATCCTTGATTCCTTTTTGTTAAGTAATCTTTGTTTCATTTCTTTTTAAGAGTTTTCACGGCCATATATAATTCACATATTATACATTTCTATGTTTCAGTCACATTCATAAGAATTGTACAACCATCACCAATATCAATTCGCAAATAGTCCCTTTTCTTTGGACTCTTGTTAGCTCTTCCTGTCCCACCCACCTCCCTGCCATGTCCCTTTGAAACTATTACTCCACTTGTTGCCTCTACAGGTTTACGTCTCCTCGGTTTCACATATAGAAAAGCATTCAAAATCTACAAACAAATGGTCCAACAACGACAGGATGAAATATAGAAAAATCTCAATCAAAAACAAAGTAGAAAGTACTAAAAACTAGGACAGTTATACATTGGATCAAGAGGGAGATCAAATGACAAGGTGTCGCTTGTTTTTTCTTGATTCTTAATGACATCTTTATTCTTTTCAAAGGCTAAATTTTGTTTAATTTTATGTAAATTGTTACTTAATTTTCTTCTGTGTTCAGGGTAACTCATTCAGACTTTCATATCATGTTCTTAAGTGCTTTTTAAAATTTTGGCATCCTTTAATTTTGTTTCAGAATTAATCTGGCTCCATGAATTTTGTTTCCATTCTCAATTTAAAGAGGTTTGCTCTGTTCACTGAGGCAAATAATGACACACCATTTTAAAGCAACAGTAGCCTCTTCTTCCAAAATAGTGGGTCTAGACATTCTTTCATTTAAACTTGACTGGCTGATGATGTGGAATTACAACTTCAGTTCTGGTGTTCTGGTGTTTTCTTTGTTTTGTTTTTTAGAAAGATGATAGGGAGCCTGTTAGAGTGTTGTAGGTCAGATGTCCGTTGGTTTTCTCTTGATAATGGTTTAAGTTGCTGTAGAATTTCATCTTTACCAATTTTGAGAATTTTCTTTCCCAGCAGGCAGGCTTGACTACTGGATTTTATGTAGGTTTCCTTTGGCTGCTAAAGTAAGTTTCCACACAATTGGTGGTTAAAACAGTATACATTTATACTCTTCGAGTTCTGGGGACAAAAACCAAAACCAAACTCACTGCCATCGACTCAGTTCCAATTCATAGCCACCCTCTAGGGCAGGGTAGAAATGGCCCCTGTGGGGCTCCATGACTATAACTTTGCAGGAATCAAAAAGCTGAGTGTTTCTTCCACAGAGCAGTGGGGTAGCAGCCTCACTTGTAACTTCTATGCCAGCCAGCAGAGCTCCTTTGGGGAGGCTAGAAGTCAAAACGTTCCCTGGGCCCAAAACAAAATATTAGCTGGAGCACACCTACTCCAGAGGTTGTGGGAGATAATCACTTACTGTCCTTTAACAGCTTGACATTGTTGGCTTGTGATCGCATCCCTCTTCAGTGTCTTCATATCTTTCTCTTGTATTTCCACATAGCTTTCTTCACAGTATGTGTCAAATCTCACTCTGCCTCTCTCTTAAAACGATAATTGTTCATTGTATTTAGGGCCATCACCACCATAAACCCAGGGTAATCTCTTTTTCCCAGACCCTTTTACTTAATCACATCTGCAAGAAACTTTCTAATGGGGTAGCATTTACAGGTTCCAGGCACTAAGACCATTAGGATAACTTTGGGTGCCATTATTCAGCTACTTTGGGATGAGGTGGCCAAATGAGTCAAAAATCAAGTTAGAGTAAGGCCCCTTGAACTGCAGAATCACAAGTCTTTTCCTCTGTACCAAATGATGCACACTCAGGTGCCATTGCAGGAAAGTGAGTGAAATGCGCTCCATGTAGTTAATAAGCAATGCTGGGCACTTTGGAGAGTGCATATCCACAAAGGGCTGACATCATACAAGGGGCTTCAAAAAGTTTGTGAGAAAATGGAAAAAAAATAATAATTCTCAGCATAAATTCCATCAGTGTCAAGACACTTTTGTAAGCAAAGATACCAGCCATTTAGGACAATTAGAGCAAGAACAAGTCCATCCCTAAAGAATGGAGGCTTCTAGGAGTTTACCCATGTCAATTCGGTCATGTCAAACGGATGCCTTTGGAAAATTCTGTAGGGTGTAGAAGCCAAAAAGAATTGGGAGGGAGCCAGATTCTTAACTGTAAGGTGTATGCCTAATGCTTTCCCATTTAAATTCTTGCAAAATTGCTTGTTTGGTAAGAATGAGCAGGGACGTTGTGGTAGAGAACGAGTTTCTGGTGACACTTTCTGGGGTGTTTTTCTGTTACAGCTTTGACCAGTTTTTCTCAAAACACAGTCATCATAAGAAAATGTTAACGTTTCTTTGCCCCTCTGCAAAATACCTGAGCATCCCCAAAATTGTTGCATGGCTTTTGCTCTTGACTGGTTTGCTTTTGTTGCAACTAGACCGCTTCCACCTGATGATAGACATTGCTTTGTTTGTACTACTTTGTCTTCAGGATCATACTGGTAAAACCATGTTTCATTTCCTGTTACAATTCATTTGAGAAATATGTTTCAGGAGCTTAATCCCACTTGTTTAAATTTCCATGGGAAGCTCTTTTCTTGCCTGCAGCTGACCTGGCAGCAACAGCTTGGTACCTATCAAGCAGGACGTTGACTCAGCTTGTTGAACCAATTGAGATGTCTGTGATGTTGGCTACTGTTTGTGCTGTTAATCATCAGTCCTCTTCAGTTAGGGCACAAACCAAGTTTGTGTTTTCCTCTCAAATTGTTGTGAATGATCTGTTGCTATAGACTTCATCTTCAACATTATCTTGTCCTTTCTTAAATTGAGTTATCCATTTATAAACTGATTTCCTTGAGGCATTGTTCTCATAAAACTTTCAAAACGCATTAAGCATTTCACCATATTCCACCCAGACTTCACCATAAATTTAAATTTAATGTTTGTTTTCAATTTTAGTAAAATCCATGTTGCTTAGGCAGGGACTCTTTTCAAACTGATGTCTTGGCTGCTTTAGTGCCTCAAACTAGATCATGTTCAGACATATGACATATAACATATTATTAGTATGAGTTTATTTTTGTGCAAAAATTTTTTTTAATCCATGCATTTGGTGTGTGTTTTTCCTCATAATATGCATTATCCATGAACTTTCTAAAGACCTTGTATATGAAAGTCAAATTCTGGCTACCAGTTTGCAGTTTTAAGTCTGAATGTGAAGGCTCGCACTGTTTACTTCTTTCTATAGATTGTATTTTTCTAATTTAGAGAGATCTCAATAGAGTCCAACACTCAAAGACCATGTCATAAAATTGACAGTGAAACCCCACCCCAAATGCATTTACAGGATCCCGCTGCATTAAGCCTCTGGTGAGCCCCCATAGTTGAGGGATATGAGTAGTATTGCTATCAAGACCAGAGGAATGTAAAGTCAACGATGGCAGATGTAGTTTGGTTAAAATATAATACCTTGCCATTTGATCTCCCTTTTGACTCATTTTAAAGTTGCTTCAGTTTAAAAATTTTTCTCTTTTTGATTGAGGTTTTTTGTTTTGTCTAGTTGTTTGCTTGATTGCTTTCTTCCTGTGTGTATTTTATATGAAATACATGATAAGGTTAATTTATAGAGGTAGTAACTGGATTGATAATTGCCGAAAGGCATGGCAGAGGTGATTGGGGGAAATGGGGTGAAGTTGATTGTGATGATGATTGCACAACTCTCCTTAATGTTATTGAACTATTAAATTGTAGTTAAGTATGTGCCAATAAAACTATTGGAGAAAAACAAAAAGAAAGGAAACTTACTACTCCATAGTGGGAAAAGGAGCTCCAGGTCGGTTCTGTCTCTCAACTCTTCCGTTCAGCTCTTGTTTCTCTAAATTCAGATGTTGTCCACCAGCTTCCTCCAGTGTGATGTCTGTTTCTGTCCAAGGAGAGTTTACTTAGATGGGTTTTGGTAAGTGTTATAGTGTTTCATCTTGCTGACGCTTTCTCCTTGTTTTGACTTATTTAAAAAATTTTTTTTTGTCATTTTCTAGAAGGGAGGTCTGTTAGCTTATGTCATATTTCCTTACTCTACTTTTGGATTTAAGATAACTGTCTGGAGGCATAGCAGGTTACACATTGAGCTGCTAACCACAAGGTCAGCGGTTCAAATCCAGCAGCTGCTCTTAAGAGAAAGATGAAGCTGTCTACTCTTGTAAAAATGTGAAGTCTGGAAAACCCAAAGGGGCACTTCTGCTCTGTCCTACAAGGTTACTATATATGGGTGCATTATTTTAAGGCTAATTCATAAAACAAACATTATGTTCTAGCAATTATCTTTTACAAGATTATTTTGTATATCATAATCTTCATCTTTGTATTGAAAATGAGAGTTTCTAAATGAGAATTTGTTCATATGATTTAATAATGATGTTTTCTCACTTAATTTCTTATATCTTGAGTTGAAGTCATTGGCAAGTAATCAAAGATATTTATCAATGAGAAAAGCTACACATTAAAGTAAAAGATCTATACAAATTGTATACTGGACAGACTTGTAACTTAATGTTAATTTTATGAGAGAGAATTTTCCCTTTTTTATGTTTCAAATTTGCTTTGCTGATGATAGGATTCTAAAGACATAAAAGGAATATCTTCCTAACTAGATAATTGGTCAATTTTTTGTTCTTTTGCTTTATGTACTTGTTTGCTTTTCTGGCTACAATGTTATTAAAGAGTTAAGATAGTGGCAGGTCATATAGAAATGTACTTAATTTTAAACATGACATATATATTTGTGTTTCTATAATGAGGGTAATGGGTAGTATACTTGAACCCTTGTGTGTCTTAAAATGTCTTTTTTCCTCCCTCCCCCCCACACCCCATGTATACTATAGTTTGGATGGTTCTAGAATTCTAAACTGTTGCCTTTTATCTCTTAGAAGAATTGCTTTTTCTCTGCTGCCTTTAGGATTCAGTTTTTCATTTGAGAGATGATTAATATCAATATGATATCCTTTCCTTTATGGATGACTTCCCAGGGTGGTGAGAAGGGTTTTCCTTTGTCTGCTAACCTAAAAGTTGGTGGTTCGAACCCACGCAGTGGTACTTTGGAAGGAAGGCCTATAAGCCCCTCCTTAAATAAGGTTGATTGTCAAGAAAACCCATGGAACAGTTCTACTCTGACACATGGAGTTACCGTGAGATGGAATTGACTCGGCAGCAGTGGGTTTTATTGTTGTTTCCTTTTGAGAATTACCCATGTTTCCTGTCTAGAAGTATACCCTACAGATCCTTGTTTTCTTTTTCTTGAATTTCAATTGTGGACAACTAGGTGTGTGTGGTTAGCAATTAAACCTACCAGATACTCAGTGAGCTTTTAATGTCAGTACATTCGATTCTGGGTAAATTCCTTTTACTATTTTGATTATACTCTCTTTGGTTTCTGGAGGAGAAATCATTTTCTGTGTGTGTGGACTTACTCTCTGAATAGACTGTTATAAAATTTTAACATTGCACCTGCTTTTTCTTTGAGTGTATTTTATTCAGCAATTTTACTTGAAAGAGTGCTACATGCTCTGTATCCCCTAGAGAAAGGGCCTACAGGACTAAAGAACTGATGCTTGAAGAATGAGTGAGAATGAAATAGCCCCCCCCCACTTTTTTTTCAATCATTTTATTAGGGTCTCATACAACTCTTATCACAATCCATACATACATCAATTGTGTAAAGCACATTTGTACATTCATTGCCCTCATCGTTCTCAAAACATTTGCTCTCCACTTAAGCCCCTGGCATCAG